CGTGAAATGGCAACAATTGCTTTTTCAAACGAAGCGCTATCAACAACTGACCGCATCTTAGCAATGCAGTACCGAGTGATGGCAACAGTATTGGAAACAATAGACCATTCCCGCGGATGCTGTAGCACCATGTAAAGTGTGTATTGAAGAGTTAAACAGTTTGCCAGTGGTTCAGCAAAGTCTTCAAGAACAGCTCTAGACAGGAATCAAGAGTTTATTTAACAAAGAAGAACAACGGAAAGTTATTTCCGGTGTCTGTCTTGTCAATCGTGTCGCCTACGATGTCACACAAACAGTATCCCAGAAAGAACCATTGCCACAATGGCCCATGATTGATACAGGAAAAGAGAAATTTGATCTGCTGCGAGACAGGAGAGTAACAAAAATACTTTGTAAACAGGGTATGGAGAACTGTAGTGTATCATGGATACTTGGTCATGATGGCAAAGAGGAGCACGGGTTAAATAATCCGAGTGGTATCGCTACCAACTCAAGCGGGCATTGTATTTTAAAAGACTGTGGCTTGAAAATCAAGGTGTTTGACAACAGTGGCAAGTTTGTGCGACTTTTCAGACTTCCTCCCCTTATTGATGACAGCCGTAAAGAGCTATCGATTGACAGCTGGCCGGTTTATCTGGCCTCAGACATGAATAACAACATTTATGTGCTGGTCAAAGAAAAGTCGAGTCGCGAGCGCTGGATTTATAAGTTTAACGAAAGCGCTGAACAGCATCACAGGTTTCGTGTCAGGACAACGGAATTCGACTTTAAGCTGTGTAAACTGTTAGTCAGTGATAGTGGTAAAGTGGTGGTACTGAAGAGTGACAAAGAAATGGAAGTGACAAAGAAATGAACGCTTTCCAAACTATTTTGTGTTTTCCAAAATAGCGTTTTCCGCCAAAAATGGCTTATTTAGGAGTAAAATTAGTGTCAATTCCGCAAAAATACGTTGAATAACACCTTTTTTTTAAAGACCTAGAGGGAGGGTGACCTCAAAGTAGCACTATCTAGGCAGAAAGCACGGAAATGTCTCATAAATGATAGCACCAGAAAGACTTCGATTTTCACGGAGGAAGGAAAAGAGTCGTTTCAAAAGGGCAAAACTTTGTTTAATTCCACGGACAGTTAAATGTCGAGGCATTTTACCCATACAAATATTCCATTTTCCACTGCATGGTCTGTTAAACATGGTGAAAGTGCCCAAAATTATCTGAACGTTTAAAATATGAACAATAAAGTCTATGATTTTAACATAATATTTAAAAAATCTGATAACCTGGTTTATTTAAAATTCTGCATTGGATAACGTCAAATGCAGCAGAAATTCTGCGCGATGTAACGTCAAGCGCTGCAGAAATTCTGCTCGATGAAACGTCAAGTGCTGCAGAAATTCTGCACGATGTAACGTCAAGTGCTGCAGAAATTCTGCACGGTGTACCGTCAAGTGCTGCAGAAATTCTGCACGATGTAACGTCAAGTGCTGCAGAAATTCTGCACGATGTAACGTCAAGTGTTGCAGAAATTCTGCACGGTGTAACGTCAAGTGCTGCAGAAACTCTGCACGATTTACCGTCAAGTGTTGCAGAAATTCTGCACGATTTAACGTCAAGTGCTGCAGAAATTCTGCACGCTGTAACGTCAAGTGTTGCAGAAATTCTGCACGGTGTAACGTCAAGTGCTGCAGAAATTCTGCACGATGAAACGTCAAGTGCTGCAGAAATTCTGCAGGGTGTAACGTCAAGTGTTGCAGAAATTCTGCACGATGAAACGTCAAGTGCTGCAGAAATTCTGCACGATGTACCGTCAAGTGCTGCAGAAATTCTGCACGCTGTAACGTCAAGTGTTGCAGAAATTCTGCACGCTGTAACGTCAAGTGCTGCAGAAATTCTGCACCATGTTATGTGTAGTGTTGAAGAAATTCTGCAGTAGTTTCAGATAGGAAATTTTAAGGGTCCTAATCTATACCGTCATTTTCAACTCTAGTTTTTTAATGTTTTTCTATATACGTCAACAATACTCTTCATCCTGACGCTTTTTCCATGCTTTTAAATAAAACAAGTGAAATGAACCTCACGATTGGAATCTAAGGGCTCCCAACGGGACCCATAGCTTTAATGAGTAGGTAATTCAAATTACAAATCAGACTTACACTCAAAAAAAATTTTTGATAACATAAACTTTGTCAATTGAATTGTTTACTAACTAGTAGATTGTCATTGACATATAAACTAGGAAGATACAAGACTACAAATTTTAGTCTCTATCGCTGCCTGTTCGGAAGGCAAAGCGGTACTGTCTATCCTAACTGCGCTTCGCCCTTTCCTCAACGCAGCCACCATTGCATAGCCATTGGGGGTTCCAGCATCAATAACCACGTCCCCTTCTCTGGAGAGGTTTTCTACAAGCCATGTGTAGCCTTGTGCTGGGAATGAATTCAGGAAAATCAAATTTTCTTTACTGGCGGACAAATGTCTCGAGGTTATTTGCCTTGAGACAGACCAGTGTCCAACTACAAAGGTTTCCAAGGCTTCCTGTAAATACGGACCTAAAAAAATTAAAATGAGTATCAACAATATGATATATGCGTATTATACACTTACTAATTTCTTTCGACACTGCTGGAACGTTTTAATTCACCAAACCTTATTATAAATTGTGCATGTAATACGCTCTCAATGAGAAAGTTTAAAACAAGTTCAGATTATAGAATCATGATATATATTTTTGTTAACTCTACAAGTACATCAAATAATTCAATTCTGTTGACTATGAGGTTTTTAAAACTTTCTTCTGAGGACAGTTGTTTAATTCTAGAAGTATCTTACCTTGTGCTGTAGTTGGAGGTTTATTTTGGACGTAAAAGTAGCCATGCTGTGCCAGAGTAGCGCCCTCTTTTAGCATTTTTTCTTTTAGATTTTTTACACCTTCAACCATTGTAAATAAAACAATGTTAAATGATGTAAGCTTGCAGAAATTAATGCGGGAAACAGTGCTAATTACATCATCAGCATTCTGTGAAGAGAAAAATATGAGTCGTAATAAGTAAATGCAAACAACTAAAAGTTATCCACAAAAAACAGGATTTGATTAGGATTGTAGTAAAATCCTGCATGTATTCGTTAAAGGCGATTTTTCCGTGCCGTTCTCAGCCTAACTGGAACGTAACATGATTTTTTATCATAAAAATGAAGTAAATGTTCATATTAAGTTCATTTAACTTAACTTATAACATTTCCCGGTTAAAATGAAACTTTTCGGAAAATTAAAACAACGGAAGGCGACAAGAAATATAACGTCTTATGCTAACAAGGGCAATTAAAATAACAATGCCTCGTCACTTAATTCATTTCTTTCCAAGTCACTCGATAGTCGAACGGTTGCGGGAGAGTCTCACCTAGATTTTTATCTTACCTCGCACTGCTCCCCTGCTTCAACTATGGTTAAAAACGCTCCCTCGTAATGTGGTAACTTTGCCAGATCGCTTTGTTGTACGTCTAACTGGCTGTTGCTAAATACTACGAGCCCAAATGTTCACAGATCCAAACCGATACGCGCCCCGTGAATTTATTGGAGTGAATTCGAGCTGAAAGAAGAATTGATGATAGATTTTAGGCTTACAGTGAATTGATACATCAGTAATTTAGCCATAACCTGGATTGAATGGGAATTTAGAGTCCAATGTCAGCAATAAATGTATACTGTATACTTTAAATCACCTTGAGTTTCTTCTTGGGAGGTGATGCTCCAGATTCTTCAGCAACAGAACCTGATGAGTCTTGGTATGATTCGGCTCCGATTATGTTTAAGAAATTTTCCACTCTTTTTCCTCCTCTGTATAAATACGCGGCTCCCGAATTCACTTTAATGTACCACAGTTTCGCTTCATTACTGCGCTTATCTTTTGGAGGCATCTTAAGTAGAAGGTTAGTTTACGACCAAGGCTGATCAGTTCTGGGATACACTCCTGAAGACCTGAAGACCTGAAGACCTCTTATCGCGAATCATCATTGCCTTTTTTTATACTACTGAGGGAACAATAATAGCAGTGATGAAAAGAGTCGCGATGAACTGCATTTCCGTCAAAGCTTTTTACACCTTCAGAATAAATTAAAAAGGTGACATTTTCCTGTGAGAACCAGTCGACGCAACTTAAAAGTTGCCTTGACACTTCCTGTTGTTTTTGTGTTATAACTGTGAGGCCTTGTCCACGCTATGCCTTTTAAATTTTGGTATTAAATCGTCGTTTCCTTCCAATCGTGGGAACAGTTAATTTTGTTTTCGCCCACAGTCCAACGATCTCTGGCGGTATCATCGGGCAAATATACATAACTAGGTCTGAATCAAACAAAAACCGCGGGCGTTTTGAAAATGGCTCCATGTTCGGTTAATACTTGATCAACTTATGTGCACGGTATGCCAGTCAGAGATTTGAAGTAGCGATTTGAAATTTATCCACTATAAAAAGTGGATACCACAGTGTTTAAAGGGGAAAAATCCGCTGAAGATTCCATCTTTGACATCAAAACCCATGACAAGCCGTTCGAGACCTCCCAATTCGTGCCACCCATTAGGCGAAAAATATGTTCTCACTAAGGCGAAGGAATAAGATTGCTTCGGACTAACTCTTCGAAAAAACATTTGAAGAGGTCCTTTTGAAATTCAAACAACGTTTCAAAGCATGAGGGTACCCAGAAAACATCATAGGAAGGACTCTGTCGGGGGTCAACAATCGGCCCTTTCATGTACACAAAAGCCAAAAGGTCACGAACGATTGTTGCCTTTTGTCACAACGTGCCACCAGACGGTCAAAAAATTAAATCATAATATTGATGAAACATTGGAGTCTGATACACAATCAGCCCTTGCTGAAAACAATTTTTACAAAACCTCTGATCATCTCTTACAAATAGGGAAAATCCCTCAAAAGATATGCTTGTGAAAGCAAAAGTATAATTTGAAGGCGATAATACGACGTGACCAAGAAGACATAAAATCATGGATTAGTGATTATTGTGAGGAGTTACATGAACACACAGTTCCAAAGTGCTTTAAATTTACATTGAATGAGGATGGAAAAGCAGTTATGCACTACAGAAATTGGAGCCATGAGCCATGGAAAGAGCCCATTGCAATGCTGAAGGTTAGCACATGAAATTCTTAATTAGTGGTTCCTGAGTCATAGTTAAAATAGTAACTTAAAAGCTTACCTGATGTTTTCTGAAGTAGCATTGGCACTGACAATTTGTAGGCCTGAAAAATAACATTAATGCTCCAAATAACTGAATGTTTGCTGACATTACATGTTAAGAATATGCTGGGTTTAAATTGATCCTCAATTTAAAATGTATCTCACTGCTTTTCCCTGTCTTTAAGATTGGGATCATAATGTGTACAAGTCAAAGAAGAATTAAATGGAAAGAGAAAGCCCTTATTATTGTCTCTCAAGGAAATTTGAGCCAACAAATACATTGCTAGACATGGTTTGATGCTACTCTGGTTTAAAGATTAATTTTGTTGAATTTAACAGATAAGTTACAATTATTTAATATTTAAACCAGAATAAAATCAAACCATGTTTGATTGTTCACCTGGCTGCCTTGTGAGGTTTAATATATCAAATTCATTGTTGCCTTTTTTTGCTATACTAGAGTTTACCCTCTGGAAAGCCAAATACTGTGACTCCTTCCCTACATAAACTGGACATGGAGGGATTGAAGAGAGATATTCCCACCAAATATCCCAAGAATATGCCCTTAAAAGCATCTGAAGAGTGGGAATCCTGGTTAGCAATACAGAGTTTAATCTATTATCAGTACCTGACAACTACACTTGGCCAGTGGATAAATTGAAGAATACTTCAAGGACTGTTTTAGCCTCAAATGCTGAACTCCCTCATGAACTTTTAGAGCTCAGAGAGAAAGAGATCCAGCCTATCACAGAGGTGAATAATAATTAAAATGCAGCAGTGGACACTAAAAAGCCAAGCCTTCAAATGGTCCTACAGATATAAAAGAGAAATAATTAGAGGGGTCCATTCCTCTAACCCCTTCTGCGTCCAGTTATAGATTATACAAGTCCAACTTTAGATATATAATAATGTACATGATAAAATTACATGCTTCTGATTTGCTGAAAACAAGCCAATTCTCATGTAGCACAAATGCAAAGTTGCAACATGAGTCCAAATTACAAATAGGGCAAACACACTTTCAAAATTTTGTCTGCACATTGTTCTTGCAATTTGGTCTACTAAGCACTTGTAATTTTTCAAATACCACGAAATTGCACTTGCCCTTCAGGCTCGTGCAAAAATTTTGTTGTCTTTGGAAACTTATTTGTGCTTATTCACACCAAATTGCACTAATAGAATATGACACGGTCACATAATCCATTACTTATAATTAATCAAAGAATAAAATGATAAGAACAATTGATAATTGATACATCTCAGTCGAAATGCTCACCTAAACAAGTAAATTCTAATGAAATGTCTGTTGAATATTTCAGATTTACACAGGCCGTTACAGGACCCCGAGGGAAAGGGAAGCGCCTATTGAAATGGTAGACGATTTCCTCGCTACTCTTCAAGTCAGCTGCTTTGTGGCTTTGTACTTCGCCAATTACGATAAACTGCCCTGCATTGGCAAGGTCCTGGCCGTCGAGGAGGACAATTTTAAGGTGCATTACTGGAAAGGCACTTACTGTGGAAAGTGGACTCCTCAGCATGTTCCCCGACAAAAATCCAGACCATGGGTGGAGATCCTTCCTAAGAGCTGTATAGTGTGCAGTTCATTTGAGCTTACGGAAGACAACAAGCTAATGCCATCAACAAGAAAATTTCTCAAGGAAAGATATGTTGCTTTGAGGACAATTCAATCTTGAGTTTTTTCCTTTACGCCATTCCTTTCTGAAATTGGGCTTAGTTATTTGTGTAAAATTACATAGAGTGTCGTGACACATGCGTAGTAACGTTGCTTTAGAACACGCATGTACTGGAATTGCGGTTTAATGACTTGTGTGTTGCTCAGTGGCCTCTGCCTATGTGGAGTTTACAATTAATTCTCTATAAGTTACAGAGTCGAGTTAAGTTCAAAGCTAGGTATTCTTTTTGCTTTGACACTGTTCAGCAAGATGTGGTAAATGAATCCACCTACATCGATGAAGTCTTTTATCGATCGAGTCGTATCCAGTTGCCACTCTGTGAGGAAAATATATTTATTTATGGATGTTTATTTAGCAATCGATTTCAACCCGAGTCTCTCATCTCGAGGCCGTAGGTAGGACATATATATAGATATATAAGAAACCAAAATTTTTTTCCCTCGATGTCGAATTTTCTAAGCCACCGTGTATTGAAACTACTGAAATGTAGCATGGATTTATTGTAACTTAACTCTCCATCCATAAGGCCTCAAGGGCTTTCATTACAGGGTAGGGTAAATGCAAGATAAAAATAAGAAATTTTTTATTAGTTGTAATTTTTACATATGTTTTTGAGATGGTTCAAAGGAATGGCAGTATAACAGTTTATATTTTCCTCTTTTAAAGTGGAATCAAATTGTTTGTGTGATAGATCTCAAAATTTTATGTCATTGGATTTATTATATTTTTTCATTTCATTTATCTGATCGTGCAATAAAGGGACGTGACTTGAACTGTTTATTGTATTTCTTACTTCCTTAACAGATGAGTATAACTACCACATTTATGAAGATGTGCCATTTGATAGTTTAATTATTGTAAATCAAAGAGTGATTGAGGATCACTGACCAAATGTTGTGGAATTTTTTATTGACTGGTTTTTAGTAAGATTGCTAAATGGCTGTATTGTGATTGTGTAAATGTGATTGCAGAATTTCTGTGACATCCAGTGGTTGAGTGGTTGCAGAATTTCTGCGACAGCTTGTGACTGAGTCATCGCAGAATTTCTGCGACACCCAGTGGTTAAGTGGTTGCATAATTTCTGCAACAAGTTTTGAGTGAGGGGTCGCAGAATTTCTGCAACAGCTTGAGACTGAGTGATCGCAGAATTTCTGCGACATCCAGTGCTTGAGTGGTCGCAGAATTTCTGCGACAGCTTGTGACTAGGTGATCGCAGAATTTCTGCGACATCCAGTGCTTGAGTGGTTGCAGAATTTCTGCGACAGCTTGTGACTGGGTGATTGCAGAATTTCTGCGACATCCAGTGCTTGAGGGGTCGCAGAATTTCTGCGACAGCTTGTGACTGGGTGATCGCAGAATTTCTGCGACAACATGGTACTGAGTGAATGCAGAATTTCTGTGACATCTAGTGACTGAGTGGTTGCAGAATTTCTGCGACATCTAGTGGCTGAGTGGTCGCAGAATTTCTGTGACATCTAGTGACTGAGTGGTTGCAGAATTCCTATAATATCCATTTCCTGAGTGGTTGCAGATTACCTCTGCATCTTTCCATGGTTGACTCTTAACACATTGTTTTTTACAGACATGCTCAATCTTGCAGGAGAAAATAAGATTTTTTAATCTTTCTAAGATTTTATCCGCGAAATTTGATTAATTTTGCTAGTTTTCCTAAACGTGCAGAGGAAAACTATTGATTTATCAAAAAATAGGCTATTTTGGAAAACACAAAATAGTTTGGAAAGCGTTAATGGTCTGTTGTGGATGTATATGAGACTGATGGTCATTTTGTTTGCAGTTTTGGAGAACAAATCTTGAGTTACTCGTACGGCATCACTGCTGTAAGTGATGGCAGAGTCATGGTGGTGGAAAAAGGGGATCCGTCGTGTGCTCACATATTCAGCGAACAAGGCGACCATCTGCACAGTTTTAATCTGAAAAAGGCTCTAAGATATTTACAAATTGCATTTCACAAGGAAAGTAAACAAGTCGTCATAGCTGGTGTTAAGGGTATAATTTCAGACATCTTGTATATAGAAATAGATACCAATGATGGTAAGTTGATGCAAAGTATTTCGATCTATTTGGTAGAGTTCAACATAGCTCCATTTGGGATTGCAGTGACTTCTGAGGGACGCGTTGCAGTATCAATCATGTCTGACGATTTAAAACCTAAAGTAATAATTATTTAAAAAACGTACTAATGTACTAATTTTCCCTTCTTACTTTTACTTTTAGTTAATAGACTTATTATTATAATGGATAAATTGGTGTTTTGCACAATAACCATGCAATTAACATAATAAGCACAATGCCCTTATTTTTCACACGGCATGATGTAACTTAAGACTAAAGTTTCATGCCTAAAGTGAAAACTTTTATAGCCTCAATTTATTAACTTTTGATGCGCTATTATTTAATCGAACAGATGCGATGGAGTTTTGCAATTTTCATGGAAAATAATTATTACATAATTAATCATGTAGGAACTTTATTGGTGGCTCCAGGCTTAGCTAGAGATATGATGCTTATTTGGCAACCAGCTCTGTGGTCCTCACCTCTTTAGATGTATTAATAAAATTCCACATTGTAACTGCCATATAACTCCTTGTAATGCGAAGAAATAATTTTTTTATATCATGCCAAGGTGACACGTCTTATAATTACTCAGCAATAAGCTGAGATATTTGTTTGTTCTTGTTACCTGTTTACTTGATAATGTATGGATATTCTAAGGAGAAGTCGAATGTGATTACCTTCTGTAAGTGAAAGTGTTGATATCCAGTCTCCCTTAAATGTAAGTGCGTCATTTTTTATTTTAATCATGGTGTTCCTATCTTTCGATAATTTTAACATTAGCCTTCATCCGTCTTTTAAGCATAATGCGTGGAAAGTTACTGCTGTGATAGGCCCAATGTTTGCTTAAGTAGTTTTGAACACTTCTGCTTTCTTGTCGAATGTTTCATTAATCAAATTTAGTATTTCATTAGGCTGTTGTTTCCTGCATGACGATTTTCAAACGAGACCAATTTAGATGGTTAAATATTAGGATAATGATCCTTGTAGATCAAATCAAACTTGTCAGTTAATGCTAATTATTTTATAGCTGGCGGAGCACGTGGGTGAGATGATGCGAATCCTTTGCTTTGCTTGGCTACTCGAGTGGGCAAGAGTTACATCTTGCCCGCTGATGAAAAGTGTAATTTTTTTTGTATCTAGTGGAAATTAAAATATGGTCAATTATCATCAAATCTTACCACTTGTTGAATTTGTTCTTGTTTTCTCTTAGGTTCTTCTTTTTCGTATGATTTCGATGAACTTCGAATACAACTCTTGCCCCACAGCCTCCAACTTCCCGTACCACGTTCTCCCACCTCCCTTTCTTTTGCGGCCCTTTGTTTCCCAACTCCCGCCCTCTTTGTATTACTCCCGTCTCCAGTTTGATAAAAAGGACTATTGATTTAACAAATTACTTTTCCATTACTTTTAATTTTCGCACGTTGTCGGAAGTAGCTTTAGTCGTGAGCTATGTAAAAGTTGGCTCCAACTAATGATTCATAAAATTGTTGAACCGTTTGCAGTTTTGAGCGTTCAGTTTAAGCGCTGATAGACCGTTATTGCACATTATTCTTCGGCTGGTCTAGGAGATATATTTTAAAACTACTCGGATTTCTTCGAGAAGTCGAGGTCTTTTTGAAACCTCTCCGGAAAGATTTAAAAGTTGTTCATATATTCTCTTATACATTAATTCACTAGCAGTATCATTTAGCTTTGTGATTGTGTGATTTAAAAAGAAGCATTTGCAGATGCGTGGTCTTATTTCTTATTGTCACATACAAAAATACTGAATAAAAGGGGGTAATTTTCTAAGGAATCTGTGGTGCTGCGTCGGTGGGAGAGTATAGCAGGTAATTTGGTGTTAACCGAGTTGAAAACGTAAATTGGCCACCGTAAAGAGTAAAAAGCTGACGTTTCGAGCGTTAGCCCCTGGTCCATCGCTCTGACGAAGGGTTAGCGCTCGAAACGTCAGCCAATTTACGTTTTTAACCTTGTTGTTAGCACTAAATTGCCTACAAAAATACTAAGGGTGATCAATATGGCCTTGGACGACGTTTGACGTGACTCGCTTTGCTCGCTGGATAATTCCAACTGTTGACACTGTATACATGTTTCATGTTATCTCATTCACGACTTACGATGTAATTGACTTCGAAAGGTATCTAATATTGGCCTTTGACGAGAGCAATGTGCGAGATCTGAATGAAAATTTTAAACCAAATGACCGCACTGCGCGGGCGGAGGTAAAACTGTTTGCAACATATGATCTAAAGGAGAGTTGATAATACACGATCCTTACTATGGAGACGTTTCAGATTACGAAGTCATGTTCGATTTTGTTCACAGATGCTGTGTGGATTTTTTGAAACAGTGTTAGAGAAGATAGCGACTTACTGGTGTTTCAATCACCGAGTCAATAATTTTAATGCCTTCGATTCAGACGCACTGAAGAGAAATACTAAGTTTTGAGGTATGACGACGGGTGTATTCATTTATATTGTGAAGCTCTGACTGCCAGAGCACCGCGAACAATGGACGAAACATCGAAACTGCAATATGTTTTATATCCATGCATGCCGGATTTACACACACAAATGAGGATAGACCAGAGCGCCATGCCATATACTTGAAGGGACTGTACATAAAGTCGATTTACTATCGATCTTCTGAATGTTTCATTTAAGGTCACTGCCAATAAAATCTGGTCAAAATTCTTTCAAGTTTCCCGTTTTCTTTTGCTTTTTAGATCGAGGAAGCTTTTAAGTTGTGTGCCCACCGAAACAATAACTGTGACAACTTTTGCTATTTTCGGAATCTATACTTTATAAGCTCCATAGTGACATATAGTTCTTCATGGTTTGTTTTATAAGTACCGCGCTTAAGACGATTTTTCCAAGAGGCACCCTATTTTGTTGACAGTAACCTCTTTGAAAGTTTTGCTACATCAATTTTCTTTTCAAACTTTCAATCTTTAGCATCTTACGGACCCTTAACCGCTACGATGACCAAAA